CCCCCCCCCCCCTCATCTCACCCGGTGGTGAAAAGTAACTGGTCTGTAGTTCCCTAGGTGTCCATGACTGAATTGGTTGAAATCCGATAAGAATTGCAGTAACAGGTGTTTTTCCAATTAACATACACTATCTTGTATGTTAAGTTCTCTTTAAGCAACTTTTCAGTTCACATTAATCCTGTGATCTGTGATTTAGGTCACTGACTCAAAGAAACTGTGGGTATGGATGAGACAGGAGTTTCTGCCAAACATTTATGACCAATCCTGGTACAATGGCCTTGAAGAGAAAAAGGATGTGTACATCGCCAATAAGATGTCTATTTTGATTGGCATGCCTTGGATGCGACAATTGAGAATTCATCAAAGTAGGTTGTAAATTTCTTTCGGTTGTTGTCGTTTTTTCTTTAATCAAAACCGTGATCGGTTGAAAGTCTTTTAGAGGAGCTCGAAGAGATAACGTGGAAACTGAGATCTGCACTTTTTTTCACGGTCGGGGAGGTGGAATTTGAGTCACTGGAAATATGAATCACAAGCTAAAAACAAGAATGGAAATGGAACTCAGACCAGAAAGAGCTCTGACAAATAAAATTCCCCCTCCCTCCTCCTCTTCATTTCAGACTTCAGAACCCCCTCTCATTTGCGGTACTCTGTTTTCTTTTTCCTTTCAAGGTCCCTGTGAATCAATTCCTAAAATTATACCAAACTGCTACTACGATTACTCTCCAGAGATGGAGGATACAACAGAATTAAGCCTTCCCGGATGGAGGCCACTTCCAGACAATACATCATGGCCAGAGGCTCTTCGAATCTGCCCAAAACCATGGCGCTACCAGAAAGCTGAAAAGCTCGGCATCGATCCTGTCAAAGCCGTATACAACACTTATGGAGGAGGCGGTTACGTAGCCGTCTTGGGGTACGATGCGCAAACAGCGCATAGCGTCTTGGGTGAGACTATGGGCCTTGGATGGCTTGATCGTCATACCCGTGCTGTAGTTCTAGAATTTGCAGCGTTTAATATCAATACGAACCTGATTAGCATTGCTACATTCATCTACGAAATGATTGCGTCTGGTGCAGCCTACACTACAATGAGGGTGGATACACTTGAGCTGTATACTACAGACGCGGGGGCAGTTATGTTCTATCTCATTTGTCAGTTTTTGTTCTTGGCAATGGTGTTGTTCCTCTTCATTATGATGCTGTATCACCTCTACCGACAGAGGTTTGCATTTTTCAAATCCGTCTGGAATATGGTGGAGTTCTTAATGATCATTTCCTCTATAACGTCCGTCATGAGCTATATGATAAGATCCAAGAAAATCTTGAACAGCATTAAAGCTATTCAGAATAATCCCTTCGAAATAATTCATTTTTACTCTGCTTTAAACTGGGCAAACTGGGAGAACGCTTCCATTGCCCTCGCCATTTTCATGGTAACAGTGAAGCTTTTGAATTTGATTCGTTTCAATCCTTACGTCATTTATTTATTTTCATCGTTCCGTCAGTCTGTTGGGTACCAACTGTCCTACTTGGTTTTCTTCTTCATAGTCTTCAACGCCTTCGTCGTAACGGGAATGCTGCTGTTTGGTGGCGTGGTTCCCCATTACTCCAGTTATTTATTCGCAGTTCTTTCACAATTACAATTTCTGTTAGGAAAAGCAGTCCCAATTGCTCAACTTCGCGAAGATAAACCCTTCATCGGCTCAACCTTTGTTCTGTCATTCATGATAATGATGACGATAGTTCTTATGAATATGCTGGTTTCTGTTCTAAACGAATCATACGCTGATGCCCGGGAAAATGCAGAAAGTGCAGAAGAGCTTGAAATGGCGCACTTCATTGGGGAGCGCTTCATGGAGTTGTTTCATGAAGAAAAAAAGCGACCAGAGTTAAGATTATTTTGTGATGATGCAACTTTTGTTAACATGTGTCGCTCTGATGCAGAACCATTTTGCTTAAATTTTAAAAGTCTCCTTAGGTGCACAGAGGAACGATTACAAAAAATAGATAGAAGACTTAACGTCCTTACCAGACGCACAGAGGGCATTGATATCGACTACCTGCGAGAGGAGAAAGAGTTTATTTCTCTTGTTACCTCAATCATTATTTCGCATTAAGATCAAGATGATCCGCTTCTTCCGGATGCTGGCCAATCAAAGTTGAGTATTTTACCCCCTTCCAAGAATGAATCAATCATCGACGAGTAAGCAAAATGACGACAGCTAAGTATCATGTGATCAGACTACGTGCAGTCCCTGCTTTTCGGCGAAGTCCGTTGCACGAGTAAAAATAAAATCCGAATAAAATTGATGTTTACGCGCCACACGGAAGCTAACATCCATTTTTTGTTCTCTGATATTTTCTTACTTTCTTTACTTTCTCACGAAAGCCATTTGCTCGAAGAAGGGCTAACGCTCGAAACGTCAGCTTTGAAACTCTTTACGGTGGCCAATTTACGTTATCAACTCAATTGATAATACTAAATTACCCTGTTATAATCTCCCACTGACGCAACATCACAGTTTCTTTAGAAACTTACCCCATTATTCACCTATAACAAGGGTCTGCTTCCGCCTAAACTAGAGGGAATCATGTGAATTCACACAAAGAAGCTCGAAGCCAACACTGATTGACAGCTTAACCACAGTTTCATCTCATCAAAGCTTTATTGACTGTTGTCAATTGCTTTAAGGCAAAGTATTTACGACAGAAGTAGTTGAAAACGAATCAGTCACTACAACTACATACACAAAACCAGAAAAATAACTCTAATACTGGTAAATATTTCTAACTCTTCTCGGTTCACAACATCAGAAAAAATAGGAAGTTAAGCTTAATTCAAATATTTAATTTCACCATATTTAAGATAATCTATTTGTATCATTAGCTGCAAAATGTGACAGGCAGTCAATTTAAAATATATTCTACTTTTCTCAGGGAATCAACTAACTGTTTAAAACCTTTAACTCCCAACATAGTAATTCTCCTTACTGTCTGCTCTACATTTCTCATAATGTTGGTTGCGGGAGTTTGGATTTAATTCAAATTGCATTCCCTCGTTGATACTTTTGTTTATCCTAATCACTTGTCTGATTTATAATGTAATGGTAGTGTTAGAAGAAATTAAATCTTGATCACTGCTGGGAGAGAAAGGGTTGATGTTCAAAGTAAATTAAAAGCAAAATTTTCCTATCTTTGAATAATGTTTAAAATTGATAAAAAAATATTTAACGGATGAAACCTTTATTCTCTTACTGAAGAATAAGTCACACTTCTATTGTTCATTTCTTTTAAACTTGCAAGACCCATACAGTTTATATTAATTTTTATAAATTATTTAAATTAGAATTTTGAAAATAAAGTAAAGTTGGGCAAAATTACAGTTGAAGAAATCAGCGTAACTTGTTCTACAGGCATGGCACATTTCACAACTAATTACTGGACAGAAACAGAGTGAAAGGGTACACTGCCTAAAGTAACTTATGCGGTGACAGCTTAGGGTGAAGGACAAAGACAATGATTTATCTTGTCATTCTGTAAAGAATTTGTCCACTATCTCTGAATTTTTGCAATCTTCACAACCAAGTCTTTTGTCCTGAAAAAATAAAAAATGTGATAAATTAAAAATCTGCATCATGATGTCAGTTGCACTGACACTAGACTACGTCACTTGGACAAATTCATGGATGCCCCACTATACCCAAAAATAATGATAATAATAATAATAACAATTAAAATAAATATATCAGGAAAGTTATAATAATAATAATAATAATAATAATAACTGATACTATACTAATAATAATTATAGCAATAATGATTGTTGGATGGTAATGATGGTGCACATAGGTCAAGTTACACACTCACACTCTATGGACAACTTTTGAACATTTTCTAATTGTTAGATTTTAATATGCAATTAATTTTAGCTATATAAAGAATATAGAATACACTCATATAGAATATGATTGTATTGTGAGTCTGTGTGAAATTTTATCTTATTGCATATTGAGTTACAGTTACTGTACCAGGATAGATACAAGATATGCTAATAAAGGTCACTTCTTATGTTTTACCATAATAATGGTGATAGTGATTTAAAATGGTAATAATATACCTGAAATCAAATCCAAACTAAAAAATGAAAAAAATTAAATGTAAAGATCATCAAAAGGCTAGGCTAGATGGTGAAAGAAAAATATTATTTTTTTATTTTAAGAGTAGATGGCACCAGCTGATTGTTAAAGAAATGTGACTTCCTATGCTTCACTGACAACCCATTTATTAACTAAAAAGGCATCTGAGCTGAGTCCTTTCATGCAAAATGTGTTTACTCACTAAATAGGCAATGGGGAACAGTGCATCAATCAAGAATGGCTGTTCTCCTACAACTTTCAGAACTAAATATTTTAAGAAAAAAAAAGGGACTGGGCTTTGTTGTGTCTGCCATGTATACATTTAAGTCTGGCAGAGAGACAAAACATTAAAATCAATTTTATAATTACAAATTACCAGTATCAATATCAAGTACACTTACAGTTCCATAATCCACGATTGTTGGAATTTCTTTCAGTTTGAAATCAGGATTTGTTCTAAATTCATTATCAGGTGATTTCCACCTATTGAAACAAAAATGAATCCTGTAATTACCACCTGACCCCAGTTCTTCTAGGTATAACTTTATCCATTGGTTAAATTGCTATCCAGCAGATAACTGTTAACAAAATGTACTTTGCTATCGGACAGATAGAAATTAATATCCAGCAGATAGTGTTATTGCAGTATCAATTGCACAAGCTGGGTCTGATTTTTAAGCAACAATACCACTGCATGAAAGCCAACTACATGATAGCTAGCCACCATCACCACATAAACATGTAGATATTTAACCCTTTCACTCTCAAGATCTCACCAGTAATTCTCTTAACTGTCTATAATACAATCCCTGTGATGTTAGCACAGGGAATTTGATATTGGATCAACTAATACCATTCCTTAATTAATTTCATCACTTGTCTACTTGACATTGTATTGATATTGTACAGGGAAGTTTTGCCTTAGTAACTCATGTGAGTTACAAGGTCAAAGCCTGTTATAATGTCAAGTTCTATTTTCTGCTTAGTTTAGACAAGAGAGATTGCATATTTTTAAGAACGTTCATCCAAATTAAGCTTACAATTTCAAACGTTTGCCTTGAGAGCATGGGTATTACACCCCATGGGCTGATTATTTACATGAGGTCTAACCCACCTTTGGGTTTTACACAAGCAATGGGCGTCAGTTATTCCCTATAAAAGGTTTGTTTTAATTTAATAAATATTACTTCCACTGTTAACTTTCCACCTCTTGACACTGTTCACAAAAACATTCAGATAAAAGGTTCAGCTAAACTGAAGATAGTTCAGAACACAGTTTGTTAGATGACAGCTTAACCTTGTTTAAATAACCAGCCCAATTAAGTAGTCTTTTTTAACAATATATATATTCACTAAACCCTTTAAACCCACACTGTAGGAGCATACAGCATACAGCTCAATCATTCACTAAGACCATGAGAATAAAGGAAATGATCTCAACCTAAGAAACTTTCATTGTTAAAGAAATTCTCCTTATCAGTATCAAAGGAAATGTACAGAAAAGAAAATTTTTTACATCACACAGCGAATTTGCTTTCATCCCCTTTGCATAAAAAGCTGTCAGCTGGTAAAACAATTGTAAGAATAACAAACAATGCAAAACCACAAATATGGAAGCAAAAATTTTTTTCATCCTATTTGATTTTACCAATGGCGACATACTTACTCAGGCTTATCACCAACAATAACCAAGATGAACACCATATCAGATGGGGCCTTTTTCAAAGCAGCCTCTACAATTGGCTCAGCTAAAAATCAATATCAAAGATTTAGTAAAATAGTGTTGTTTTAAAATCCTCAGAACTTAAAATTGAAGGCTTAGAAATTACAGTTCTATGACTGAAAACTCCATTTGTTAAGGGAGATTATCAGTTCATGGCTTACAACTTCAGCCCTACAACTTCAGCTCCACAACTATGACACCATTTTCAAAACAATAATATTACTCCAAAGTTTCATTCTGTGTGAACCTTTGCCCAGCCTTTAACTCCCATGATAACCAAGATAGGATTTCTCCTTACCATATCAAAACAATATCAAGCAGACAAGTGACGAGAATCAAAAAATTATTAACTAGGGAATTATTGACTCCCATGAGTGACCAAGATAAAATTTCTCATTTCTATATCAATACAACTTCAATTAGACATATGATGAGAGTACAGAAAAATGTCAATTAGGGGATTATTGGTTGGTCCAAAAACAAATTCTCCGAACTATCAACATATGAATTGCATAGCAGGCAGTAAAAGAATTACTGATGAGGAATTTTGGAGTGATGAGACACGAAAAAAAGAGAAAATAAGAAGTTTGTTCTCATTGCTACGCCAATGAGTACAGTATGTTCAGTTTTTAAATGAATATTCATTTATTCTTGTGACTCATACGTTTCGGTAAGTAGTTGACACTCGATCGATTAATGTCATCGATCCAAGAATATTGCAACTTGAGGAAATATCGATTTCTTCCCATAATCGTCATGGACCGCAATGTTAAAAAGATTTTGCATAAAAAAAATATTCCCTTCTCTAATACTGTGCGTGATTAAAATCAGCTGACTTATCTACAATCGACTGGGTGTAGTCCAGATTGAAAAAAATACAGACGATCGATGGTTGACAACAGTAAAAAAACATTCAATATACTGCTTAGGAAAATGTATCGCTCCGATCTCTTAATGCTTTTAACAATATGGAATAGACAAAACCAGTTTTCTCAACAGGAGACTTGGAATTATAATTAAGCTTGCTGATAGTTTCCAGGACGAAAGATTCCTGACGAGTTACAAACCGTCTCGACAATCGGGGCACCAGCTCTCGCCATTCTCATTCATGGCACCGATAAACATCACCGTTCTCCTCTTCCCCTTATGCTCTTCCAGAGTCTGCATCAAATTACTGAGCCCTTCGACTTGAAGCTGGAGTTGCTTCGGTTCAGACATTTCCAAATAATCGTGGAACTTTTTCCCTTGCGTTCGATTGGCCTCGTTCTCAACCCTACGCCTCGATTTGATTCTCAATAAGGAAAAAAGCCCTGTCTAGAACCCAACTCCTAGCTGCCAGAGCTGCGATGTAAAAGCCTGTAATAATTTGTTCATTGATTGTAGTGAATAATGTCCGACTTTGTGACCACCGTCTTGGGAGAAGAAAACTCTCAAAAAGATAGAGTGGCAGCAACAGAGTTCAAAGTAAGCTGATCGTCTTTGTTGAAAACAATGTCGTTCAATAAATTCGTAAACAGCAGATCAAAAACATTAGTGAAAACTAGCATGAACGAATGATGTAATATTGATCTTCAGTCAGTCATCATCATAACTACCGGCACACGTGTAGTAGAGAGGTGATTCATTCATCAATGAAAAAAATTACATGTCGATTTGCAGTTTAAATTTACGTATGATAAAGACCTACATCTAGACAGTACATTGAGTGACAGGTTGTAAAGGTTTTGATATAAATTTTAAATTTTGATTTGATATGAGTACGTTGAGTTACAGGTTGTAAAGGTTTTGATATAAATTTTTAATGTTGATTTAGTATTTAAGTCATGTTTGATATTGTACCTATCTTTGTCTTTTTATAGGTAACATCTTCAAGTCCCATTAAATCCTGAATTTTTTTCTAGGCTTCTTTTCTGCTCTTGCTCAACCCTTTCACTCCCAGATTTGATTCTCATTTCCTTGCAAATTAGTCACATGAATTTGGTGTTAAATCAAGAAAACAGTTTCTACCTGATCAGTTGGAATATTCTCATTACCTGTTTTCTGGATAATGTATGGATATTATAGGGAGAAGGCATATGCCAATCACCACTGGGAGCCAAAGATTTGAGTTGCAACTTACCTGGGATGGTCATAATTGTACCTGATCATTTCTTTTTTTTGTTATGTTTTGCAGCGACCAAGTTGTCATATCTTTTTTGATAAGTTTAGAATCTGCCGATGTAAGTGTTACCACTTTTTACCTCATTGTCATCAATGTCTTGTCATTGATATCTTATGATAAACACAAATTAATTAAAAAAAAATGAGTAAGCCTTAAAATGTTAGGAAGTTTAAAATGTTGATTTTTTGCTGACAGCATCCTGGAACCAGTTCCACAAATACTACATCTATGGCAGTATGGAAGACTGTTCAATATATTTTCAGGCCTTCCGTAGCTGTTTATCATACACATTTACAAAATCCCCAGAAGCAAAGGTTTGTTCATTTAACTCTTTTTCCCACAAAGAGCAGTGTTCTCCCTTATTTTATGCATAACAGGTAAAATAAATTTTAAAACCGGTAAAGCAATCCTTTTACCTGTTGAATTTTCAAGAATTCCATGCAATTTTAAATGGTAATGAGGTACTACAGGCAGTAAATGTTATTGGTTACTGCCTGAAAAGGAGAACTCTGTGAGAGTGACTAACATCTAACTTCTCCCAACATTATCTCAGAATCACGCATGAAAATGATGAGGATGAAAGACATGATAACCAATGAAAGAAGCTGTTGATTTTTAAACAAATTCTCCCTGTAAACACTCTAGGAAATGTATGGAGAACAGTATGGAGAATATGCATACTGATGTTGGGGGTGTAAAGGGTTAATACAGAAGAAAAAGAACAGTGCTTGCAATGTATAATACAAGTTTGGCATCCAAGTCAAAATGTAATTCAAATTCAAAATTGTTAGCATAGCTCAGTAGGAATTAGTCTTGTGAAAAGGTTGGCATCTGAACAGGGTGTAACTCTGAGACTTCAGATCATTAACATTTAATGAGAGATGCTCCTTACTCTGGGTTAAAATGATAATTTTTAGTATTAAGTTGTGATTGGGCAATCTCTTCCACATGGATTTGTCTTATAGTGGAGATGTTACAAAGTACAGGTAACTTAAAATGAGTTTATTTTTGCATAATGATGAAAAAAAAAATTTTTTTATTTTGTAGGCAATAATGCAGGAAGCTTTGGAAATGGATGAAATAAAATTTACATCATTTTCAGTGTGGGAAAGAAGAGAGAATCCTAGTGAACATTGGAATGACAAAAGTTAATACTTGTTGGTTTACATGATCATTTAAAATGAAACTTGTTAGAAAAGATCAACAAGTTCTAGATCTACAGTCAAGAATGAAGAGGGAAAAGTGTTTGCCAAAGATTTTTTATTCAAGAAACTCCTGGCAGTGGCAACTTTATGTGGGTTGAGAAGTCTTAAATGTTTTTTTGTTTTTTGTGTTTTTCATTTTTTCCTGCAGCTAATTGTTTTGTCTTTGGGACTATTATGTTTCAAGCATCCATCAGTCGTTAAAAGCTCAGGCATATATTCTTAGTTTTCACTCATTTTATCCTATGCTAAGGTTATAAATTAACCCTTGAACTCCAAGATCTGATTGTTAATTCTCCCCTCCAGCTGCTACACATTTCCTTGTAAATTAGTTATGAGAACTTGATGCTAGAGCAAGATAGCTGCTTCTTCTAACCCTTCTAATTTCTCCCTGGCATACAATGTCATAATAATGTCAAGCATACATGTAATGAGAGGAAAGGAAAACATCAACTAGGTTATTAGTTATTGATCCAACACCAATTTCTCACAATTAAAATCAGAATAAATATATAGCAAACATTAAGGAGATTCCTTAATGATATCTTAGGATTGAAAAGGTTAATTAAACTAACCATGTTAATCTTTAGTTTTGATAACTAAAGCACATATCTGTAGGTGTTATTGGCAAGTTCTCACAGTGTCTATCTCAAAGGATTGACCAAAAGCAAGTAATAATCTATTACTTAACAAATAAAAGCAAATTTTATGATTTGCAGTCGAGTGGAAATAGTTTCTGTGAGACACAGAAAACCACGAACACTTTGATTTGATTCTGACATGTCAACTGTTTACCAACCAATCATGAGGAAATTAAAGACTTGTGTGCAAACCTCATAACAACAAACTATTTACCTTGGCCATAGAGGTTTACAAGCAGTTACATAATGCCTGATTGGCTCTTTCTTTGCAACATAAGAACATCAACATCCCATAAACATTTCTAGTGTTCATCATTCTCTGAGTCCCATTGCAAGAGATTGTTAAATTAAGGTCATATGAAGATAGCAGAGGCAGATAATGAAACATAAATTATTCATTGATTGATCTGTGATAATCGTTATATATTTTTTTTTTTACATGTTGACCAAGTTCATAACTTTTTTTTTTAACCTTAGTTACATTCTGTTGGGATGTTTTCTTTTCTTTGGACACTCCACTGGAAAAATTAAACCTATAGAAATAGATAATGAAAAGGACCTGTCTTCTTGATTTTCCCATTCAGTGGCACAGTAAAGACATTCTTGTATTTTCTTCAAATTGTCTCAGATTTTTAGTTTACTAGTTAAATATATTTTAATTATTGAAATGTAAGTAAACTAAAACCATAAAAAACAATTCTGGTGACAGTGTATAAAAAATTTATTTAAAACATTAAAGGATCCTCATAAGTGCAACAAAATGTTGTGGATCACTGCTTTGATGTGGTTTTCTTAGATCAATATCAGCATCTGGGCAACTGCCCACCTACCCCTCCCCTAACCCAACATTAACCCTAACTTGTTATCAATTGACTGTTGTTGAGTTAAGGGAGGAGTAGGTGGGCAGTTGCCCAGATACTGATATTGATCCATTTTCTTTTAGGCCAAGGTCATCCAAAATAATTTTATTAAAAACGTTTAAGATTCCTCATAAGTGCAACAAAATGTTGTGAATTGCTGCTTTGATAAGTTCTTCTTTCAGGCCAAGGTCATCTAAAATAATTTTTAAAAAAACATTTAAGGTTCCTTATAAGTGCAACAAAATATTTGGATTGCTGCTCTGATATGGTCTTCTTTCAGGCCAAGGTCATCTGAATGGAAAGTATCTCTCTATTAAATACAATGTCTCAAAGACAACCTATGACAGTAATAAAAAGAAATATTAGGTTTTTTTAAATTAGCACTATCCCAGCGGAGAACTCAGGAGATTCTGATCTTTATCTCAGGAAAAGTATCCCAAATTTAAGTCAAGAGGAGGAACAAAGACTTCTTTGGGTGCAAGTTTGAATTTTTGAAAGGAAGAGAAAATCAAAACAATTTTAAAGTGCAATGAACTGCAGATGAGGTGCCATGGCAACAGGCCCTGATTTTGGTTACTGTGATGCATTCCATAGTAACACACTCTACTGTTAACCCTTTGACCCTAAGAGTGACTGGTATCTAATTTCTCCTTACAATATCAGCCCTGAATCACACATTAAGGTCATGAGAATAAAGGAGTTGATCACCAACTAAAGAAACTATTGATTGCTAAAAAAATTTTCTTTGTCAGTACCTTCAGAAATGTGTAGAGAACAGTATGAGGAATCTGCATACTGATGTTACAGAGTACAGGGATAAGATATTGCCTTTACATTTTGTGTAATTTTATGATAATGTACCAGTGATAATATAGTACCTCAACTGCTATAAGTGCAATTATTCCCCACTCCAACCTGAATGAGTGTTTTTCACTGAGATGTGTTCTTAACAACTCCACCATCTCAGAACAATGGTTTAATTTCTCATTCATCACCTAGGAACAAGAAACATTTGTCAGTGTAGCTTGACACCCAAGTAGAGTTGCTTTGTATTCAATGTGATTTATAACGTCCAAAATGCAGGCTGGTGATTACCACCAACTGATAGAGGGATAGACTAATGAGCAGTGAGTGGGGGGGGGGGAGAACGAGGTTCGAACCCCTGACCAGTCTAATGTTGAGAGTTTTTAAATACACTGTAACTATACATGGAAAATGTTCTGCTGGTCTAATGACCTTAGCAAACACTTAGACATTACAGTCTTCTTGGATAAGGATTACAAGCAGTGGCTTTTGTTTCCTTTATCTTAAACACTGTGTAGCAGGGGACCTTGAAGAACTCACACTCCCAGTCAAATTACATGACCACTGAGTTTGTACTGTTTTGATCTGGTCTTGTTTTTGACGCTGGGAGCATCTCCAAAACTCCAAAAATCTCCCCAGTTCTCTGTAAGCAGCTTGGTTGAACTTTTTACCGAAATGATCTTTATTGGAATAATCACCGCAATATATAGCATAATAATTAATCATCACATCATATTTTACCCTTGTTCTTCTGTGAATATCAAGGTAGACACAAGTTTTGTCATACAAGTTTTCCAGGTTTTCTCTGTCCCAGTAAAAATCTGGGGTCATCAGAAGATCAGAGGACAAATTGATTTTATACCTAACAAAAAAAAAAAGAGACTTTAAGTCTATAGAGAACTGTAAATTAAGAGTGACACAGGCACACAATGCACAAGGATATGTATCCATGCAAATATGAACTAAATACTTTGTAAAGCTTATTTAAGTTCCACAAATGATTATCTTTTTCATTCTTTGTAACTGTATGAATTAATAACTCTAAAGTTAGTAGCAGTTTCAGAGAAATAGTACATAAATGAACCCTTGGCACTTCAGCCAAAGAAACACACTATATTTCAAGGTTTTCATATGAAGATGAAGTTGGCACGAGAATGACGTTAAGTATTTACGAAGCCTATCCTCCACCTCTCAATCAAAAATTACTTCTTCCTCTAACTCCCTTGGGTGACCAAGGCAGAATTTCACCTTACAATACTACTACAGTATCAAGTAGATAAGGTGATGAGTGGATAATTCATAGATCCAATACCAAATTCTCCAAACAAACACTATAAGTAAAATGTGGGGGACAATAGGGAGAATTACTGATAAGGATCAATGTGTCATTGAAACTTAGCATAGAATTATTCTTTCTCATTTTTTTTTTCACTAACTCCTCATATTTCATTAAGCACCAGGTTTTGGAGTAAAAATTCACAGTTGTTACTGGGTTTGCAGCTTTAAAATATTTACTTCAAACAGATCTGTGAATGCCAAGTTGAAAGTAAAAACCTTGGGTAATAAATTCCAGCCCCAACTGAAAGTTCCAAAGTCAAATACCTGCTTGGTTTGCCAGGCTAAGTTTGGATTTAGTGCTGGAGGCATTTAACTGAGAATAAAGCATGTTAGGTACAAAATAATATAGTTATAAAATTCTTAATCACGCACAACAGTACCTGAGGGAAATGAGTTCTCCTGTTTTCTCTAGCACTTCTTTTCTAGACATTCTTACTTTTCTTCCTTTCCTTAAATCCTTAAAAATAAAATAAAAATTAATTAAAGTCAGGAATAAAACTGAACAAAAAGTAGAATGACTAGCTTAAAAACTGTGGATACACATTTCCATGTGGCCACTAGTTTGCATTCAAAGTGTTCAGTCAGGTTTTGCTTTCTATGCTTGCTCAAAACTCTAAGAACTTCTCACCTCAGGGACCCATTGTATGGACTCCACATATTGATCTAAGACTGACTCCCAGATAGCAAGTTTAACTGGTGCATAGAAACAAACAAAAATCAAGTTATTGCTAAGTTATTATACACTGTCATTACACTAGGCCATAAGAAGTCTTTTTAACTCTTTAACTCCTAAGAGTGACTAGCATCTAATTTCTCTCTATAATATCATACCTGAATCACACATTAAGGCCATGAGTCTCAGAATAAAGGAAATGACTACCAAATAAAGAAGCTCTTGATTGTTAAACAAATTCTCTTTGTCAATACTGTAGGAAATGTTTAGGAAAAAGTGTGGAGAACATGTATAATATTTAAGGTTGCCAAACTGTGCACTTAAGCTACTTAAAGGTAATTTTGTACAGCAATTTTCCCTTACCAGACAAAGCTAAAGCATTTGAAAAAGTATATTTCTCTAATGCCATTATGTCTTCCGTTGAATTTTCATTTAATATTATCCTTCCACTGTGGAGAGCAGTGGAATTTCTAGAATAAAGGCAAAAAATATATTTTGAGATAAAAAATAAAAGACTTAAAGAGGAAGCACAAATTTCAAAATGGTAGTTTAAAAAATATTTTTAAATCCACTCACTTGGAGTAGGAAAATAAAAGTTGTTCATCTTCTGTGTCAGTAAGTGCTATATCAAGGCCTCCATCTTGGAACAGCTGTGCAATCTTTTTAAAGAACTGCTCCTGAAGAATGAAATCATGTTTTAAAATCATTTTTTTTAAAGTAAATTCAAGGTAATAGTTTTAAGAGAAGATTTCACAGCTCTGGGTATGTGAATAGGCTATGAAAATTATCTCACTTTTTCAACAAGCACCAGTACACTTTGGTATCTTTCAGTGACAGGGAGAACTGTTTATTGTATGGTTGGTTTTTTGAAATTGTCACAGTGACTGTTAAGGTACATATCTCAATAACATTCACCTGGCCTTTTCTAAATCCTAAGTAGTACCCTCAACTTTCTGCTGGTTTACTTTTTAAATTCATTTTAAAGCAGAAACATATAAAATACTTAATCATAACAAACATCACCAAACATGTGATCACAGGCATCCCAAGCTCAGGAGTCAGTAAGTTCTATTAATCTTGTACATATAAAATGTTCGTCTTTCAAAATATTTGTTTTAAATTGACCATATCTCATTCCTCATACTATTTCCTATAAGATGTCCAAATTCTCAATGGTTCTGCATCACATAATGCATGGCGCTTTCATGAATTAATCAATTGCTTTTTCTCAAAACCTGAGCTTTGGATGCCTGCGATTTGATTTGTGAACTTAGCGTAAACCCAATTGGAGAATAATTCATACCTCAGCACTACAAACATTCCATAGCACCAAAGATCCAAGCCATCTGTCAAAGGAAAAACACCTTGTTGTGTTATGATTGCCACAAATTGACATGTATGTTTTGACCCAGTACACCCTAACATCGATATCCACATTCTCCATACCCTTCTCTATACATCTTCTTGGTGGTAACAAAGAGAATTCATTCAACAATCAAAGGTTGCCTTTATTCTCATGATCTTAATGCATGATTCAGCAGTGACATAATGTAAGGAGAAATGAGATGCTGGTCACTCTTAAGCCTTTAACTCTCAAGATCTCATTAGTAATTCTCCTTATTGTCTGCCAAATGATTCCCATTAAGTTAGTTTGGAGAATTTGGTATCGGATCAATTAGTAATTCCTAGATTGATATTTTTCTTTATTCTCATTACATGTCTGCATGATATTGTATAGATGTAGTAAGGAGAAATTCTTTCTTGGTCACTCATGAGAGTTAAAGGGATCAAAGAGTAAACTTCTAACAACCATTATTTGATGGCAAGGGGAAAAAAAGTTGCCTTCTGATTTTCTGTGTTGTCAAAGCAAATATCAAGTTAAAATTAATAAATATGCTACCTAACATTCATTTCAAAATTATTAATAGCTGATACTCAAAGGCTTGATTAACCATGCTTCGACAATAAGTTTTCTGATAGTTACACTAATCAAAAAAATTACAATTTTCTCAATCATGATTGGTTGAAAAACTCCTATTTTCCACTAATTCACTTGCCAAGTTGTTCTTGGACATGTTATTGAACAGTTCAATAAGCCAATCACATTCAAAGTTACAGTTTAAATCAACCAATCACAACCTTGATTTCAATCACCATGGAAACAGTGTTCAGACTCCTAAATTAGAAGCTTTCTTCAAAAAGAAGAAATTGTAATTCTTATGATTCATTGGTGATAAGACTTTGCATCGTCCAATTCGGTCTGTAATTAGACTTGTGATAAACAAACAGACTCCTATTACATGGTCGTCTAATTTTGTTATCACTCCTATGATTACAGAATGAATTGAACTCCACTCAGTCCTATATATCACCATTACTTAATATTAAATAAATATAAGAGCAATAAAATTCACCCAAAGAAGAACACTTCTCCACTATTTTCACCATTTTTGTCTTTAATACAAACTCGAAGTACATTTGGCTCATCTGAAAAAATAGATGATGGCAAAAAAATATCAAATAATGATTACAAAATTGTAAAAACCAGTATAGCACTCATAACCTACTTTTATTTAGTATATCTCTCTGTTGGCACAAGCACTATGATTGGTCAATTGAGTGGACTGTATTTCTCTGTACACCTCACAAAATTCAAAGGTTTTTTTTAATTGAAACAATAAGTATCTTCCTAACCTCATTTTCTTAGTAAGAAATATAAGTTACGGAACCTTACTTTAAAATAAAATAAATCCAAACAGCAAAAAAACATGGTCTATAACTTACAGTATGGTCTTTGATCTTGGTTAATAAGAGGTATATTTTTATTTTGTTATGTACCTTCTGGTATAAATGTTGCCTGATATTTTGCCATGTTCCCCAGGTAACTATTGATTCCATGAATGTTGTATCTCTCACCAGTAACATAGGCTTGACAAATCATCCAGCCCTACAAGGAAAGGAAACACAAGCCTAGTCCATTTGTATGAATTCAATTTTCGTAGAGGGAAAGATCTGTTGAAATGTTAAATCCTTTCTAGTCTATGTTGAAATTAAATTATTCAAAAATATTTCCAAGCTGATGTCACCACAGTGTTTATAATCAAGGCAGAATTTCTCTTTACAATGCCAATACAGTCTCAAGTGGACAAGTAATGAGAATATTGATTTGAGGATGATTGGTAGATCCAATACCACATTCTCCGAACTAACATTGTAACGATTGCATTGCAGACGGTAAGGAAAATTACCAATGAGATCTTGATGGTGAAAGGGTTGATGTTATCAACAATGTTATCATGAATCAACAGGAAAAAAATGTAGCTGTAAGTATTGATATGTCAAGTGAGCCTGTACCAGGCTCACTTGACATATCAGCAAGATGGAGCGGGGTGGTACACAATACAAAAGTACTGCTGGAACAAAATCCTGCAAGAAGTTTCAGGGTCAGGTTGGAAACCAGTTTACCACTATTATACTTTGCTAAACCAACTGATCATATGAAACATGCTAGTGTCAATTTATCGCATCATCCAAGATAATGCCACCTGGTTAGCTTATGTGGATGAGCACCGGACTACTGTGTGGGAGGTTGGGGTTCATGACACAGACCAGACCCACACTTAGGGCCTTAAAATAACTGAGGAGAATGTGCTGCCTTTGCTATGATATCTGCAAGTGGTAAGACATTCTAGTCTTCTTGGATAAGGACAAAAAGCCATAGGCCCTGTCTCCTGCATCTTCTCAGTACTAGAAGAGAGGGAATGCTTGTAATATGGTAAATAAATAAATAAATAGTGGCTCACATGTTGATCTGTCTCTTTCTGCCGTGCACGCATCTTGTGCGATGGTGACTTAGTCCTTGGTCTAATTTTGTCTGTCCCTGGTGTTTCCTTCTGCATTTCTGCTCCCTTACAATGAATACTGCTTGTATGATAAAGAGAGGTTTTAAAAACCTAGAAATGAAGAATTATAAAGAATCAGTAATTAAGTTTCTCTTAAAATTCAAAAGAATAGACCTCTTTGATAAATAGAAGGTCTTACTTCTATTTTAGTCATATTCTTCCTTTATGCAATTCAGCCCTCCAAGCCTTCAATTCAAGTTTAACCTTTTAACCCCTAAGAGTGACTGGAATCTAATTTCTCCTTACAATATCACCACTGAATCACACATTAATGTCATGAGAATAAAGGAAATGATCACCAACTAAAGAAACTCTTGATTGTTAGACAAATTCTCCTTGTTAGCACCTTAGTAAATGTACAGAGAACAGTATGGAGAATATGAATACTGATGTTTGGGTGTAAAGGGTTAAAAACAAGAGGATTGTCACTCCAAAGTGAGGACAAGTAGTAATAATATAATAGCAACCAAACCAGCTTTCTATAGAAGCGTATAAAGGCTTTAATATACGAGAAATAAGCTTATATCACCTTTACTATCAATCAGTGGGAGAAGACAATGAGGACGGAAGGGTGCCCTAGAGAATAGGTGGGGCCAAGGAAAAAAATCGGAAAATCGAAAATAAATTCTAAAATTCTGAGCATTTTTTGATCATTCATGTGCAGCTCATTTTTTCACAACGATAGGCGGGAGGTGTAAGTCTAAGGTACGGTAAGCCAGATGGCAGGGTGGGAGGGGGGTCAATAACCCTTTCCCACGATCTCTATCAACCAGGAACTCGCTGCTTCCCCTTGATAACAAACCAACCAGTGCTTACAACCTTCCTTGAAATGCCACGAGGAAAAGTCCCTTCGAGAGTAGAGAAAAATTATATCCATACCTTCAAGTTACGATTACTAAAAAAATTTGATGATTTCTGCGGAGGATTTTTCACACAAAAGCCAGCTAGAATGACACACTTCCGAAGAAGTTTGTTCGCCATCTTGATTTTTGCGATTAACCGCTGATCTCAGTGCCTGCTTGATTAAAACTCGGGCCAAGTTTCCCCTCCATTCATTGTAGCACATGGTCCCTCCCCCATTCACACCCCCTTTAATGCCATAAATGGAACTTAAATTTAAAATAATTAAAAAGTGGGTGTTAGTTTGAAAAAGCTGTGAAGGGAAATGAATTTATAATGCCCAGTGAAAACGTACTATTTACAATAGAAACTTTCATCATGACACGTTTACACAACGTCTCAACAAAAATACGGGTGAGTTGTCACGAACCAGTGCTCATTATAAACGGGCTTATGATTGGTTTATTTGTAACCTCTTGAAAACTGACCAATCATACCACGTTTACGGAGCGTAAGACTTTTAGAACGTATAATCCTTGCCCTCTGCATCGGACGAGTGACTGAGCGAGGTTCAACACAGTCGATTCACCTGAGCTTTTTCAACATGGATGCCCCTCTTACCCCAGAGTTGAAGGCAGAACTGAAGAAAATCGCCGAGGCTATTGTGACTCCAGGCAAAGGTATTCTAGCTGCAGATGAAAGCACGGGCACTATGGGCAAACGACTGGCAAACATCGGCGTTGAAAATGTCGAAGAGAACCGTCGCCTTTACCGACAGCTTCTGTTCAATTCAGGCGCAGGCTTTAGTAACAGTATCAGTGGTGTCATTCTTTTCCACGAAACTGTTTATCAGAAGGCAGACGATGGAACGGCTTTTGTTAAGATTTTGAGGGACCACGGCATTATTCCAGGGATCAAAGTCGACAAAGGTGTTGTGCCCTTGGCTGGAACCGTTGGTGAGAGCACCACTCAGGGACTTGATGGTTTGTCCGAGAGATGTGCCCAGTACAAAAAAGATGGCTGTGACTTTGCCAAGTGGCGTTGTGTGCTGAAGATTGGTCCGAATCAGCCGTCCGAGCTTGCCATGAAAGAGAATGCAAATGTCCTCGCTCGCTACGCAAGCATTTGCCAGGCTAATGGGCTCGTTCCAATCGTTGAGCCTGAAGTATTGTGCGATGGTGATCATTCTTTAGAACGATGCCAGCAAGTCACGGAAGCTGTTCTCTCTGCTACTTACAAAGCTCTTGTTGACCATCATATTTATCTGGAAGGAACGCTTTTGAAACCCAACATGGTCACAGCTGGTAAGCGAACCTAAGATATTAGCTTCCATTTTGTACAGTTTATTGCTAATTTGTTACTGATTTTTCTATGTCTCAAAAGAGATGTTTAGATCCAGTATTGGCTTTTATACTAACCACAAAGACGTCAATTGTTTTGTTTCTTTTCTGACTATGCAAAAACCTGAAAACCTCCCTTTTTACTAGTTTGCTGACGTACAAACATTTTTCCTCTTTATACCCCCTGTGCGTTTGTTTGCAGTGCAAGTCAAATAATATAAATATGATTTTTGTTTATTGTAAATGTAGTTTAGTGAATTTTAACTAAGTTGTGAAGTCACGGTTGAAATCTTGGTGTATTTTATGTAATTTGTGGGAAAGAAAAATCCATAATTCACGACAATCTTGACGTGGCCATATGTAATTCAAAAAGCTTGTGGTCTGTGTAAGCTTAGCCACGTTTGCAAACTAAGATCCATAATTTTATTGCCAGAATTTTGGCTACTACCTTATAGATGTTTGTCAAAGACATATTTCTAGCTGTTCAATCAGTATTGTTGGTTGTTAGAACAAGTTTCCCTCAGGGTAGCGTTTATTTTGTTTGACATTCGAGGATTACCGGGGTCAGATGCAGTTTATGATACAGAATAAATCACTGTTGCCGTTAATGATATTTACGATTATTTCTTGTCATGTTAAACTAAAAGAGGCCAATTAAGTGCAGCCAGTCTTATTCATGGTTTGATCTTAAGCAAAAGGTCTCTACATTTAAAATATTAGGGGCATTAATCAATATAACAGTCCTGTAACTAAAATTTCAGAATGTTATCTTTAGGATTGTAGACAATTACCCTGATTTTAAATATTCCTGCCATGGTGTTGTGCTGAGTTACTGTAACATGGAACCAATTGTTATAGTAGTTTGAATTTTAATGAGTTCTAGCTTTCACATGAATTATTGAATTTAGCAGTATCCTTTGCCTTCAATTCACTCCACACTCTACCTTCAAATTGAAGGAGTCAACAGAGTACAAGGTAATGAGGTAGACAAATATAAATGAGGCAACAACAAAGCAAGAAGAAACAAGATTGGTGTAGAACAGAGAAGCAACTTAGCCCTAACTTTCGACAAATTTCTAAGGACTATTAGTTTTGTCAACTGATTTATCCCAGCTGTAGTAATATTGTAATATTTGTATCACATGCTGTTACTGTGATGTTCCTTTTCATGAGCTTTTTTTTTTTTTTTTTTTCCCTAGGCCAGTCTTGTCCAACAAAATACACTCCACAACAGAATGCCGAAGCTACTGTTACAGCCTTGTCCCGCACTGTGCCTGCTGCAGTTCCAGGTATTGTCTTCTTGTCTGGAGGACAATCTGAAGAGGAAGCATCCGTCAACCTGAATGCTATCAATCAGTATCCAGGTAAATGGAGACACAAGTTTTTCTGTGTTGGGTTATTTTCTGTTTCAGGAGGCACCAGGTCTTGATGGTGTTAACCCTTTAACTCCCAGAAGTGATTAACATGAAACTTCTCCCTATAATATCCATAGACTATTCAGCAAACAGGATATAAGAATATTCAAACTTATCAGGTAGAAGCTGCTATCAAAATCTAGCAACAGTTCCTCATAACTAATTTACAAGGAAATGTGTAGCAGCTAGAGGGGAGAATTAACAATCAGATCTTGGGAGTTGAAGGGTTATTAATGCAAACAAGGAATCAGGAAGTCTAGCATTGCAGTCCCACTGTGGCTGAAAGCAAGTTTTTATTCCTAGTGGTACTATTCCTGATTACCACTAATCCATCATGCTAATAAACAGCCAATGTGATGATTTCCTTCATTTTAATTGTGTTATTTTTTAACATGGGTTTTTTAGTGTGGTAGACACTCTGTAACCCATCCCTCCTCTCCCCAACAAAATGTTGGAATAATGCTTCAAGTGCTTCCATAGAGGCCTTTGTTTACAATTTGGCTTCATGTGTCATAAATTATCTTTGAGGCTCTAAAGTGTAGCATGAGTCCTATGTTGTTGCATATAGGCATGTGAAAACATTGTGTTGAAAGGGTAACATTTTCACATGCTTTTCACATGCTCTCCACACAGCAAATGTCACATACACATGACATTTTCAGATCAAACAAGTGTGAAGACTGCCTAGATTTCAGCACTAATCCATGCCTAAATTCAAACAGACGTGTGTCTGCTTAGTCATTGTTTCTGATGGATAGTTCAATTTATTATTTATTTCTTTATTTGCATGTATTTATTTCCATGTATCTCAAAAGTAATGTTATATTCCCTAATCTAAAATTAAAACTCTGTAGTCCAATGTGGAGAGAGCTAACTCTTTGTCAAAGCTGTAATTAATTAAAACTAACTAAATTAATTAAATTAATTAAAACTGTAATTAAGAAAAGACATATGGAGATGCAGAGACAACAGTTAATCATTTCATCATCTTCTTCACAATCTTTGGGAGTTAAAAGGTGTCAGGGTAAAGATAATTTTTTCCTTCTCCATTATTCAGGTAAGAAGCCATGGCGTCTAACATTTTCATTTGGCCGTGCTCTTCAGGCCAGTGCTTTGAAAGCTTGGGGTGGAAAAACAGATCAGGTGAAAGCTGGGCAAACAGAGTTTCTGAAGCGCGCTGCAGCTAATGGAATGGCTTCCAAAGGAGAGTATACTGGAAGTGCTAGCATTGCTGGGGGAGAAAGCTTATTTGTGGCAAACCATCAGTATTAACTGAACTTCACTGTTTGTTTTTTTCTGTTCAGTACATAGGGTGGCTCAGAATTAGTGTAGCAAACTCTAAAATTCTTGCTGTAGTGTGCAAGACAGGCAAACCAAACACAGAACTACTTAACATAAAAAGTAATTTTCTTTCAGTGAATATATTCATTTTGTGATTCAATAGTGGTAGTGAATTGCATATAGCTTGCTTCTCTCCTTCTAAGTGAACTGAGGTCAAGGTGAAAAAGAGGATATGATATCACCAATAAAACACAAGTGAAATGTTTTTGTTGCCTTTTATTTTGTCTGTTTCCTCCTTTGATGTTCAGGTACAAGTAGTCCTTGCTTTCCAGCAAAGTCTGTTGTGCAATTAAAAAAAAACTCAGTGAAAAAATGTCGTGTAGCATGTTATGCAGAACATAGGGAGTGAGGCACATGAAAAAGTTGGTGGAGATCTCAGGCTCAGTGTGTAGTCCCTACTTTTCATGCACCAGACTTCCAGAGTTTCGCACGGTGCTCTAACATCAATCTCTTTTAACTGATTTGTTTTTAGTCACACAACAGACTTCACCTAAAAAGGAGAGACTGCTTGTAGTCTACTATGATGTTTACTAAAATTACAAGTACAAGACCTATTATTTCTTTCATCAGTTTATAAGAGACGAATGATTTTAGCTTGCCAAGGTTTTTCCATTAAAACCTACATGGGTTCTTGGCATATCATGGAAAAAGATGAGAAGCCTGCAAAGAAAAAAAATATTGTTCAAAATAATATTGATGGACTTCCGTCAGCAATCACAAAACATCATTACACAAAGTATCATGAAGGGTTGAAGAATGTTGTGGCCATAATGCATTGGCCACTGAGCAGGCCTAATTATTAGTGCTATAGGGTGCACATTTTTCTGCCCAAGGGATTGATTTTAGACCAGTCAGGGAGAGGTTTTCCTGAGTCTTGCATTAAACATCACTACAAGACTCCTTACAGCTTGTGTTACTCAATACTTTGTACTTTCCACTGGGTGAAGAGACACTTGTGCCAAAGTGCTAGAAATGAGGCATGCCCCTATATTAACAATACATTTGATCCATAAATTTTGCTTGTGTGTGATTGGTCTAAATGGATCACATGACTGAATATTCCCATTTAATACTGGGGGATACCCAAGGATATCCCTCAAGTGATAATTTCTTAACCATCCTGTGCAAAACAACAATGTTGAAGTTCGAAAATTTGCGAGGTCTGGAAGGAAAACTTGACAGCAATTGTTTAAGTTCCATTTGCATCTCCTTATGTCCCAAAAAAAAAAGAAAAAGAAAAAAAATGGTTTTGCACATGCTACATCTTTTGAAAGCTAAGTAATGTTACATCATGATGGTATAGATGTATTTGATGACAAATTTCTGCCCTTCTGCTTTTTCTGTACTGTTACAACCTACCTGCCACTTGGGATGTTGAAATGTTTCTGAAGGTGTTCAGAAATTACTTTAGCAGAGGAATTGTTTTTATCAGCTGCTAGACTTCCTGCAGAATAGATATTAACAACTCCAGCTGGATCTTCAGTCCCTCCAAATGTATATCTTGCACCAGCATCAACATTCACTCCAACCACCTGTATAGTAAATGTCAAGTGCAGGTTAGTAAATGATAAGTTACATATATAAATGAATCTCTTAACTCCTGGAGACTGGTGCAAAGAGTATGAGAAATCACAGGTAACCAGGTGAATGTATTTCTGATTGTTCTGGGCAAAAGTTAATTAGGAACACATTGGATAGACATATACTTGCCAGTTTTATTATTCAGCAGCAGGTCATCTAGGGGAGAATTTGCCCGGGTTCGCATTAATGGACCATTTTCTAACTCCATCACATTGAATCAGGTCGAATGTTCACAGTCTCAAACATTTTTGCCACATTCAGCCAACCTCATCTCAGAGCTTTATTTGTTAGTTTTCAAAGTAGCCACCGTGCATTCTTAGATTCTTGCAGAGGATTGTAGATGCCACATTTCACAAAGAATTTATTTATTCTTTCCCAAAATTCCACATTTGCTTAAGGACTATCCATGATGGATCATCAAAAATGAACCTTTAACAATTAAATTGCAGAAAAGATGCTAAAAGTGAAACTCAACAATTTCACTTCCAGCTGCTGAAAAATCACTAAAAGTCTCTTACTTACAAGATGATGGCATTATGGCTACTAGAAACCCTGTAACCACAAAAAGTCATGGTGATGTTCAGACACAAGTCTATGCCCATCTTATACATCACCTATGTGTGGCCAAATATTCTCCCAGTAAGGAGAGTGAAAAAAGGAGTAAACTTTATTTCCTTTCCTCTTTGCAGTGGATGATCCTGGGGGAAAGTCCAAGGATCTGCACTACCCCCCACCCCCCCTCCACCCCCTCCTCTAATGTCTTCTTGCCACCATTCATCATAAATTAGTATGGGTCATAACATGATTATGAGTGCAACTTGTTAAATTAAGCTAGAGTAAGTTTTTTTAAGACTAAAAAATTACACGAGCTTGTACAGCAAGTGTAATTGATTGTCTTAGAAAAATTGACTAGTGCATATTATACCAAATTGCAACAGAAATCACAGTAATACTTGTTAATAATGCACATAAAATAACATTGCAGACAGACAAGATTTTGAAAGCATGCGCATGCTTCTTGTAATATGTACTCCTGTTCCAACTTTACACCCGTGTTACAGGAGAATGGACTCGTTTTCAGCCAATCAGAATCACATAGTATTTTCATGTACAATTACATTCATTATTCACTGCTCATCCTAAATCATTATTGGGCATCATCAACTTCCTTAAAGCTTGATCTCTTTAATTACAACATCTCTTGTTTTATATTGGTTTTTGATCTATCTTTCTCCTTCTTTCTATAAGGTAAAACTTAGTAGTTTTGGATGTACATGTAGAAGGATGCTTGTTGAGGAACACGTGACCTTTTCCCCTCTCCATACCACCCATCAGAGACAAAATGCCCAAGAATGGTGTTGTTTCACCTCTACGCTGCTTTACAGACTACAGAGATGTTCGAGTTTTTCAGTAATTTTATGTCTAAAATTCGTTTCAGCTCCTCTGCACTCGAAACCATTTCCATAAAATGCTAGTAAGTTTTCGTTTTGATCGTTAACCTTCAAATTAAAATTGCAAATATTATTTCCTCGTTCAGTCCGTTTAAACCTCCATTTATCAGATACTTTATAGCTGACGATAATACCTGATCTAAATTTTGTACATCTTCTAGAATCGATCACCATGCAATCCATAGAAGGTACCGCTAAAATAGTTTAATTTAGCTCTAAGGGCTTGGAAATATCCGAAATGACTTGATTCGGTTTGCGCTTGCCACGCTCCAAAATTAATCCAAATGTTTGGACACTTACAGAATTTGGTTTTCCAAGAAGATTTGCGATAAGGTCTGTGGTCTCCTTATGAAACTCGGCTGGAACATCCTTAACATTTGTTTTCAGATCGAAAAAAGGCATCTTGAATCAAAGAAGGTTTTCTCTGAAGTAAACTGTCTCCTTCGCGTGACACCAAAAAGTAACAGACACCGAAAGGAGAGTATATGTCATGTAAGACAATTTAACTGTCCTTAGTTCTTAACGGCAACTAAACAGTTCGTCTAATCTTCACTTCCAGACGTAAGTAGTCAAGTCCCTTCTCCGGAACAACGGTTATGATGTCCTTTCGTCCCTTTCGCCTTTCCGATATAGTTTATTTCCAAAGTGTCCTTGTAATCTTGCAGACCAACAGTAAAGGGGGCAGGGGAGGAAGTAAACTAAGCGTCTCAGCTGATATGTCGATACGTCAGTGGTGATGATCATGTCAACTCTAAATCTTAGGTCCAAAGTACCATAAGAGACAGGTATGGACACTTGACATGACGTTACGTGGTGCGCGATGTAAGGAACGTGCGATAGAGCATGCGAGGGCACGAGTGGGCACGCGCACAGTCGTTCTCCGTGTAGCTCAACAGGAAATCATAATACGTGCAGGAAGTTGATTCTGGTCGTGTTACCGGTTTTCCTTTTCTTTTTTTCTTTCTTCGTGAAAATCACTAATACTACGATAAACTAGTCCCCTTTATTTTACTAACTTAGCGAATTCTTTTATTGAATGAATAAAAGGTAGATTCTAAACAAACTGTGTTGCTGCGTCGGTGGTGGAGTATAACAAATAATTTGGTTGTGTCACTGAGTTGATGATGAAAATTGGCCACCGGATTCGCAACTACAGGTGTCGTTTTGAGCGTTGGCCCTTCGTCAGAGCGAATTTGGAGTGAGCTGTTTAAGGTAGTCTTGGCATCTGTCTTTTGTCCAACTGCCTCAAATTTATGTCCTAAACGGTAATGCTTGACGGTTCGAACTAATTGCGATTCAACTATCACTTTCCTTTTTAAAGCATCCATACACAATTCAACCCTTTCACCCCCAATATCTCATTATTAATTCTCTCAATCGCTCCCACTACATTTCTTGCGATGTTAAGTCTGAGAATTTGGTATTGGATCAACCAATAATGCCCTAATTTAAGAATTTAGTATTGGATCAACTCATAATCCCATAATTGATATGTATTGATTTATTCTCATCACGTCTCTATTTGATATTGAATTGATATTGTTAGGAGAAATGATGCCTTAACACTCCTGGGAGTGAGAGGATCAAAGAAAAATTATTATAACTTGCATGGTTAACGACAGTCATTTTTGAAAACATTTATTAAATGAAAACGAGCCCCTTGAATATTATCTTAAAGATAACCCTACTTAAAGAAGATTAAACTTAGAAAAAGGTTGTGAACAGCCAAGGACTTCGAGTGGCAGGAAGAGAGGCAGAGTGGTAACATAAATAAACAGCGTTGATGTTTGTAATTTAAAAAAGAAAAAGTGCATCCCGAAGTTGGCTCGGAGTTATATCCTTATCTGTTTAAAAAATAAACATTGTCGAATCAGATCATCAGATCGTCGTTAAGTGGTAATTAGCGCTCTAAAAAAAAAAACAAAATCAGATCGCCGTGCCCTCATTATCATTCAGAAGTGATTGACGTATAGGAAGCTGTGGGCATTCAACTGTTTCTAAAGTGAAATGCCTTTCGAGCATAAATATTCAGCATTATTTTAAACGGTCGACGATTTAACTTTGTGTCGCTCCGATAAAATTTGTGATCTCGTGCAAGCGCCAAAATGAGCAATCGGAAAGACATCTATGTCAAAAAGCTGGGTTTGATTCCACTCTCCGAGGAAGGAGGTTACTTCAGCGAAACTTATCGATCTCCCGAGACGATTCCAGTTGAAGGACGCGAAGGAACAGAGAGGAGCTTATTCACAACAATTTTCTACCTGATTGCGCCTGAACTGGGAGGAAAAAACTTTTTTAATAAGAACAAGAGTGACATTACCCACTTTTTTCACGACGGATGGCCAGCCAAGTACATCTATATAACACAAGAGGGCAAAGTTGAAGAGTTTATCTTGGGTAAAGACATTTTAAAGGGCCACGTTCTTCAACAAAGGGTTCCAGGTGGCTGTCTTAAGGCAGCCAAAATTTTAATCGACGAGCGTAGCGAGTATGAAAAGTATCCGGGCGAAACACCTTTCACGTTGATCTCAGAGAAGATGTCACCAGGATTTGATTACAGGGATCGTCATGTACCGCTGGCTTCTGAAGTAAAATCTATGTATGAGAATCTGTGGCCAGAGATAAAAGAGTACTGCACACCGGACGAGAATAATTAACATCATTAATTTTGCAGCCATTAGCATACATTATTCTGAAAACTTTTACCTCAGAGGTCGCAAGACCTTAGATGACCGGAAAGCACTGACGCCTACCTTAAGGACTCTTCACATAAATAAAACAAACGGAAAGCCTCGGGTTCCGAGTTTCACTCGATCGTTCATTCTATAAAAATTTTGATATGTTCTTGGGGATCTCGGCTTTTGCGTCCTTGATCTCGGTAAACCAGGTTATAAATTTAATTCAGGGAGTTGGAAAGTCGCATCTCGTTCGAGCTTTGGTAATTGCCAAAAGAAATCATGTGACCTAAGTGAAAAATGAGAAAGCATAACAAACATCAATTCGACCCAAGGAAGGTTGGCGAACTGGTTCAGGTGATGGCAACCTGGTTTTAAGTCAGGGAGCGAACCTATGATAATTTTCTTGGCACCTTATCTCCTGCGGGCTTTTTTTTTTAAATTTTAAATTTTGTTTTCATCCTTTTATTTAAGATAGATTAGTTAATGATTAGATTTGTGTAGTTTAATTTTTATTGTGTAAATACGCAATTTAGTTTTCGAACTGCCATGTATTTATAAATTAATAAACTTCAAACATCAAACTACAATTAACGCGATGGAGGCGAACTTACCTGTTGCCATCGTTACCGTAAGTCTCAGCTTGGCAACCAGGCTCAAAATTCTCATCTCAATTCCCTTCCCAATCATATTCCTTCTGATGTAATATTAGATGTGAATATGAAGGTGATCTTCGCAGTAATGAACACTACTTGAGAAGTAGTGAAAATAAGGCCTAAAAAAAATTAAGGCCTGAACGGGACTCAGGCCTTACTTTCACTACTGCTCAAGTATTGTTTTTTACCGCGAAGATCACTTTCATATTCACGTCTTTATCCGCAGTTCAAATATATGACTTTCATATATTTACAGCCGTATATTAGATGTGTACAATAGTTTAATCCAATCAAATTTTGACTTCTGTCGTGTTAATTATCAAATCATCAAAGGCTGGTAGCTATATCTATGATGACGTGCAAAGCTCCACACGAATATCCCTTACGAAGATGCAAAGGTGTATAACAGCCTATCCCAAGATCTGAGTTCTGCAGCTTCCTTAAATGAACTCAAACACAGACCATTTCATCCCAGCTTCGAATGAGACGCGCCATCCTAGAATAGCAGCCTTAGTATATGACAGGCTTTATCTTGTTTTATTTGATAGATTAGCCAAGCAGAATTAGATATTTTACTTATAAATCAAGTTGAAGGAACTTTTTTTCCGTAAATAAATAAAGTCATCAATTAGCCAATCAGTCATTCAATCAGCTGCAGAAGGCATTTTGGCATAAGTTTTAATGCTTGAAGGTTAGACGGCGCGAGTATCAAAGCGTATGCCTTTAACCGACGATCGCAAAGTCGCAACTTCTTGGCATCCAGGCAAAAATATCTCTCGCGCAAGTTCCCAACTTACAGTGGTTCCATCTTTTTATCTAAGAACGCTTTGATTATAATTAGAAAAAACGGATTCTTTCATTACTCGCTCCAATCCTTCTGGAGCGCTGTGATCCTTAAAGGATAATTCTTCTTCACTCATGCTGTAATTGAACATGAAAAATGAAAAATGTTATTCTATTTTTAATGGGGAACGTCAAGCTTAAGTGTTGAGTCTTTGAAAAGTTTGATTTACATCACAAGATTGATCACGGTACAACCTAAGTTCTTTTCTTTAAACGGTAACCTATCTTTGCGTGACAATCGACTCCTTGTCTTCGTGAACTTTTCATTTTCCAGCGGAGGTGATTTGCATGATCGAAGCCAGAATTGCTAAAAAAACTGAGTGACTATATTTCGGTTTAGCATGTCACACTTTTCTGACTAATGATGGATTTTAGCGTCCAAAAATGAAACATCTTACTCTGTTTAACCAAAACGCCAGGCTTCAGTGTTCACCCCTTTTGGAACGATTGGATTTGCTTGACGAGATCGATGAGATCGAGAGTACAACTAAAGCTTCTGTCTCGTTGCACCCATGAACTCTTCATTTTCTTGTGGGTGTGATTCATAAATTAATGGTTTGTTTTTTCACGAGACGTGAGCCTGATGTCAGCCTCTGCTGAAATCAGTAACGAACATTCCGCGTCTAACTGTTGAAAATTTCAACCTAAATGGGACGCGATAGACAGGCACACCGTTGGGCACACAAAAATATGCAATTGAAACTTTTCCTTTTTATTTCGATAAGCCCAGAGGGGAGAAGGGAATAACCTAAACACACGTGATCTGGATACCTTGAACACTGTGACAGCGGAAGTTCGGAAGGTTGGGAAAAGTGGTTCCTTATTTTTTGTTTCGTTTCGCCTCTTGCTGACAGATTTATTCGATGACAAGAATCGTGATTGACAGTAATTCAATAGATTGATTTAAAAGCGTTAGATTATTATGTTTCAAGTCAGTTTTTCAGCAGAATCGAAGTGAGGAAGAAGTTGTTTTGTTATCGTTTTTCTGTCTCTAAATCCGCTTACCTGGAGAATCTGCTAACCCGTAGAGTGAGACTGTTGTAACGACCTGCCACAGAAGTAAGTTTATATTGAAGTTTTTGAATTTGGTTACAAGATAAAGACTTGATTTGCGTTTGTTCTAATTGCGAATTATAAATGTATTTCTTTTAGATCGAATAATTATTAAAGCTTGGCTTGATATTATAGGGTTTGTGGTGGTCATTTGATCTAACCAGTTCTGACTAAGGAGACATTTTTGTTGTTTCATTTTGAAAGCATCAGCCACATTGTCAACATCTTGGTAAGTGCGATTGAAAATCTTTTCTAATCACTCAGTTTTTATCAGCTTTAGTTATTTAGTAACTGTGTCGAGGTTAGGCTCTTATGACAAAGCCCAGTAACTGCTTTCTTGATTTTTCTGTTTGTAATATGTCACGTTTCGAGTGTTAGCCCTTCGTTAGAGCGGTTGATGGCGCGATTGAGTCGTCACCACAGTGAAGTAAATTGGTTCTACGGCGACTTTTTCAAATCTCTGTGGCTTCATACCGTATAATTTATCTGCATTAATTAAGGTTATTGAATATCGTTCAATTTGAGAAGTTGATGATCACAAAACTAAATTCAGACCTCTATTTATGGTG